TCTGGTCTCATAGTCGTATAGGCTGCAGATTGCATGGTGTACCAGTCACTAGGACTAATTGTTTCCATGAATCTTTGGTTTTCTTTATTCTTTTTTGCTCTGGATGAGGAGAGACCCATCGTTACATCTGGATGGCTGCTTGCAAGCTTTTAAGATCCCAGTCACTACTCACCAAAGTAGGAGATAGAACAATGTTTTGTGCAGTATGTTATGCCAACTGAGCTTGATGTCCCCTGTGACTATGGTCCCAAGCCCACAGGTTCAAGTACTCAGTTCCTCTGGGTAGCTTGCTGTGACCAAGAAGTGACTACAACCTTGTCCCTTGTCAGCTCTACTATACACCTGGGAATTCTTACAGATCATACACTTAGAGGACCACTGTCTGCCAACCCTATACATGGTCTTGGGTACATTCCTTGCTTCATAGACATACCAAATAGTTCAGCCTGTCCACCCATCTATCCACCCGTATACCCATGTTTGCCTTCACTGACAACACAGTACTGTATGTACAGAAGAGTTTATCTTTGTTGTCTGTACCTCCCATGTACTTCTCTGTGTCTAGGCATAATTAAGGAAAGCGATTCTCATTGTTAAGCCATGTAAACATGCGTAATTCTACACTGAAATGATTCTTCAGTGCCTAGTGGTGCCCTGGTGGTGCAGTGGTTAAGCTCTTGCTGCTAATGGAAAGGCCTAGAGTTCTAACCAGCCAGCAGCTCCATGGGAAAAAATACCTGGCTGTCTGCTCCTGTAAAGATTGTTGTTGTGTGCTGTCAGTTTTGACTTATAGTGACACTATGACAAGGTAGAATTGCCCCATAGAGCTTTCTAGGCCTTAATCTCTTTTTTTTTTTTTTTCCTAAATATTACTGTGATTTGGGTTAAAGTTTACAAAGCACATTAGTTTCCCAGTTAACAGTTTATATACATTTTGTTTTGTATCATTAGTTGCAATTCTCTCAAAGTAACAGCCTTCTTCCCACCTTCTCTCTGGGTTCCTCAGTTTTATTCCTCATTTTCTCCTGTTCCTTTCTTCCTCCTGACCTTTGGGCAAATGCTGGGTTATTGATCTAGTACGGTTGGTAGTGTAGTGCCTAAGGCATTTGACTGCTAACCAGAGGGCTGGAGGTTCAAAAACCTACCAGCCACTCCTCAGAAGGAAGGTTGGGCAATCTACTTCTGTAGTGATACTGCCTCAGAAACCCAAGGAGTCACTATGAGTTGGATCCGACTCGACTGCAGTTTGTTTGGGTTTTTTTTTTTTTTTTTGGTTGGTTGGTGTGAGGAGTATATTCTTCACAGGTGTTATTGATCACTTTGTAGGCCTGTCCTTTTGGTTGAAAGGTGATTCCCAGGGAAAGGTTCATTTCTTTTTAGGAGCAGATTGCCAGGTTATTTCTCCTGTGGAGCCACTGATGGGCTCAAACTGCTGACCTTTCCACTTAGCAGCTGAGGTCTTAATACTTTCATCATAAGCTGCATAGTTGAATTTTCAGTAAGAAGTTTGACCACCAGTTCTTTTTTTTCCAACAGTTCAGAACACACTAGGGTATTATTCTAAAACCCGTGCTAAACAATGGTGTAATACTTCCCTGCTCAGGCTCAAACCTATCTATTATGTAATGTACAGAATTGAATGATCTTGCTGAAAATGATTTTTAAAATTATGAAATACTGGTATTTTGGAAATAAAAAGTAAACATGTTGCTTGGAGTGAGTCATTAACTATTAGGGTATGTAGGGTGAAGACAGAGAGAGATCTGTAGTTACATGGAAGTTGAAGGATTTAGAATATTTTAAAACTCAGTACTCACATTTTTACTCTACTTTATTAAAAAGTGTATACTACTAGTGAACCCACCTTGTAAATTGGTTTTTCATCATAAAAACCAAAACCAAAGTCATTGCCGTGAGTTGGACCTGACTCATAGTGTCCGCTCCTTGGGTTTCCGAGGCAGAAGTAGATTGTCCAACCTTCCTTCTGAGGAGTGGCTGGTAGGTTTGAACCACCAGCCTTCTGGTTAGCAGTCAAATGCCTTAGGCACTATGCCACCAGAGAAGATTAATGATTATGATTTTTCTAATATGTGCAGAACTTTGTTTCCTTTTAAGTGAATTCTAAGTTTTAACCACAGAATTTTTTTATGCCATCTGTTCAAATAATTTCTTTTAGAATGAACAGCACAAGGCTGGTCCCCAGTGAAGAGGAAGTTAAAGCTGCCCCAAATGTCCAGCTTTACCAGACTGCTGTACCATTCCTTCATCTCTAACGTAACTCCTCCTCCTCTCTGGACTCTCCCTTCTGTCTTAGGGTTCCATATTTCATTGTAACATCTCACAGAACTCACAAACTGCCAAGGAAATGACTCATGCAGTTGTGGAGACTGGCAAGTCCCAAATCTGTGGGTCAGGCATCAGTCTGGAGGATTCCCCTCAGTCATGTGGATGTAGGGGCCTGTGAACCCAAGTCAACATGTCAGGTCACTGGCTGCTGTTGCAAGTCCCAAGAACCAGAGGTCAGATGATGATGAACCAGATGTAGGATCCAGAGCAAGAGGGAAAACTTTGCCAGAGCATTGATAGATATTGGATGCAGACGGTATCCTCAAGGAAACTAAGAGTAGTGACTTGAGTCACACCCTCTTACGGTGGTGACTCAAGATACATTCCACCCTAATTCTGCTTCATTAGCATAACAAAACTCACTCCAAAATGGAACCGTAACCACAAGGATACCAAACCAAACCAAACTCACTGCCATCAAGTCGCATCCACCTCCTAGTGACCCCTTCTTGCGTTTCCAAGGCAGTATCACTATGGAAGGAGCTCTGGTAGCATAGTGGCTAAAAGCATTTGACTGCTAACCAGAAGGCTGGTGGTTCAAACCC